CCCAAAACCCCAAAACCCCAAAACCCCAAAACCCCAAAACCCCAAAACCCCAACAATATTAAAACTTTAAAATACAGTAAAAAAAGAAGATGCAATTTAATTGGAAAATTAAGAGATTATAATGCTATTAATATGATTGATAAGTTGATTTGACTTATTTATTGATTAGAACTATTCTTATACTTTCAAAATTCATTCTACTGGTTAATATTTTATTAAATTTTGTCCAAGAAATCAGGGTTTTTCTTTTGGATTTTCTTAATTTTTACCTATGAGTATTCCTATTGCTAAGGCTACTACTTTTAATACCTACTCTGATTATCAGAAAGATCAAATGACTATTCACTGACGTCATTTATCATTCTTCTCATTCTTTCAACCTCTTAATTTAATTAATTAGGCTACTTATTCGTTCTGCTTGTTTCACCTTGCTTTTGAACACTAAGTGATCTCCTATGAAAACTTGGGAGTTATCCTAACTTTTTGGCAGGTCTCTTTGTAAGTAAATTTTCCATATTATCGTCGAATATCATAGTTGAAGAGTAGTCCATCTTCAGTTAAGGGATATTATTTTGATTCTGTTAAAATACTGGAGATCTAGGACTCTTTGATTCCAGAGTAGTGTTATTCAAGTTGTTATTTCCCCATAGACCTTCTAGATCTAATTTCATATCTCTCCTCTGATTGATTTGAGGTAAACTAGTATTCAAAGATGTTTAGGAAGTAACTCTCGAAGTTTTAAGCTTAGAAGTACTCAAAATCTAAATAGGTAGGAATTACACTTGTATAGATTTACCGATTTCATTTATTTTTCAATAAGTGGATCTACTCTTTTCTAGCCATTAGGATAAACTGAGACTAAGTTTTTAATGTTTTACCACTAAATATTCAATTAGACATATTTAAAAAGATTACTTTCTCTGTATTTTTATCAAGAGTTTTTCTATTAGGCACAGTGGCCTATATGCTCTCTAGTTTTTTAACTAGATCATCATTTTCCTAATTAATCTAGTTGATAATGTTTCTGCGATGACTTATATTCAAACTCGTGGGTCCAGTTTATTTCCTTAATTTCAGATTTGACGTCTATCAGAAATATACATTAAATTCACTCAATTTACATTCAAAATATTCATTAGTTTCCCATACATTTTTTTGTTTTCTTACTCAATTTCGCGCTCTCTATATATTTAAAATGAATATTATTGGAATGACAAAAATTGATTATTTTGAAGATGACTTACCTTTGATTTTTAAGTCTGGCGTACTCATATTACAATTCATTTTTGACCTTCTTATAGGTCTAATCACTTTTTATTACCAAAGTTGGCTAAGCATCCCGTATTTTCTTAACTTGATTTATGTATTCTTAATAAAACCTGAATAATTGCAATTTTAAAGTAGAAGTTACATTAGTTCTGTTCCGCTTGATTTTTTAATTCGATCCATTTTATATTTAATTTATATTTTCACCCTCAAGTCAATATTTCCTCTGATTCATTAATTATTGAATGAGGGGTTTTGGGGTTTTGGGGAGATCGGAAG